GGGATGAAGTTTGACCCCATGTTACCATGCAGGGTCTTCCCTGGATCTTGTCATGGTTCAACTGTTTTAATATGTAAATGGTTAAAAATTAACCTAACAATTCGCCATGAAAATAATCACCATGTGTAGTGATAATGTGTAGGGGTAGTTCATGAAGTTATCTTTTTTGCTCATGCAAAATACTTCTATTGACAAAAATATTTTAGTTCCTACTGGCAAAAACAATTTATTTATGCAACATTATAGATAAAAATAGTTTGTATCAGCCACTACATATAGATAAAAAAAATTACAATGATATAGTGTCAATAAAAGAATATATTTACAATGGTATAATCCTTCACAATGATTGTACATATTAACCTAACAATTCAACATGAAAAATAATCACCATGTGTAATGATAATGTGTAGGGGTAGTTCATGAAGTTATCTTTTTTGCTCATGCAAAATACTTCTATTGACAAAACTATTTTAGTTCCTACTAGCAAAAATAATTTATTTATGCAACATTATAGATAAAAATAGTTTGTATCAGCCACTACATATAGATAAAAAAAAATTGCAATGATATAGTATCAATAAAAAAATATATTTACAATGGTATAATCTTCACAATGATTGTACATATAGACTCGTCACAAATCTTCATTTTGACAAGCATGAATTAGTTCCTATTGGGAAAACGTTTTTATTTATGCAATATTATATATAAAAAGAGTATGTATAAAGTCACACTTAGAAAAAAAAAAAAGATATTTACAATGATATAGTATCAATTAAAAAATCAATTACAATGATATAGTTATTCATAATGCCACTACATGTAGACTCGCCACAAATCTTCATTTTGACAAGCATGAATTAGATCGTACTAGCAAAAAAAATGTATTTATGCAACATTATAGGTGAAAAGAGTATGTATAAGTCAAACTTAGAATCTAGAAGAAATAATAAAAAAATTTGCAACGATATAGTATCAATAAGAATATATTTGCAATGGTATAGTCATTCATAATGCCAGTACAGATAGACTTGTCACAAATCTTCATTTTAATAAGCATGAATTAGATCCTACTGGGAAAAAAAAATTTATTTATGCAACATTATAGATAAAGAGTTTGTATAAGTCACACTTAGAATCAAGAAAAAAAATATTTCAATGATATAGTATCAATAAAAAAAAAAAATTACAATGATATAGCCATTCACAATGCTACTACATGTAGACTCGCCACAAATCTTCATTTTGACAAGCATGAATTAGATACTACTGACAAAAAAAATTATTTATGCAACACTATAGGTGAAAAGAGTATGTATAAGCCAAACTTAGAATCAAGAAAAAAAATAAAAAATTTACAATGATATAGTGTCAATAAAAAATATATTTACAATTGTATAGTCATTCACAATGCCACTACATATAAACTCATCATAAATCTTCATTTTGACAAGCACGAATTAGTTCCTAATGGGAAAAAAAATTTATTTATACAACATTATAGATAAAAAGAGTTTGTATAAGTCACACTTAGAATCAAGAAAAAATAAAATTATAATGATATATTATCAATAAAAAAAAATTTACAATGATATAGTTATTCACAATGCCACTACATGTAGACTCGCCACAAATCTTCATTTTGACAAGCATGAATTAGATCGTATTGGCAAAAGAAATTTAACTATGCAATATTATAGGTGAAAAGAGTATGTATAAGCCAAACTTAGAATAAAGAAAAAAAAAAAAAAATTTGCCATGATATAGTATCAATAAAAAAAATATTTTCAATGGTATAGTCATTCACAATGGCACTACATATAGATTCGTCACCAATCTTCATTTTGACAAGCATGAATTAGTTCCTACTGGGAACAAAAATTTATTTATGCAATATTATAGATAAAAAGAATCCATATAAGTCACACTTAGAATCAAGAAAAAAAAAATTGACAATGATACATTATCAATTAAAAAAATATTTACAATGATATAGTCATTCACAATGCCACTACATGTAGACTTGCCATAAATTTTCATTTTGACAAGCATGAATTAGATCGTACTGGCAAAAAAAAATTTATTTATGCAACATTATAGGTGAAACGAGTATGTATAAGTCAAACTTACAATCAAAAAATAAAAATAAAAAAATTTACAATGATACAGTATTAATAAAAAAATTACAATAATATAGTCATCCACAATAATATTTACAATGATATTCACAATGCCACAAATAACATTTACAATGATAGTCATTCAAGATAGTTTAATTATAAAATATGTATCAAGAATATACATACATTTTATGTATCAACAAACATTTTTTGCATTAAAAATTTAACAATATAATTGAAAAATACAAGTTAATTTCTCATGATAATCAAAACTTGGTCACGAATTTTCAGAAATTCACTTTTTTTTTCATAAAAAATTGAAAAACACCAACAAATAACACCAATAATCATCTGAACATTGTTATCCTCAAAACCCCTCTGAAACCATTTAAAATGATGCTCTAATTCGGCTGAAAATTTCAGTTTGGCAGATTTTTTAACTCTTTTGCTAAAAACGCAGCCACAACTCCATTTCTTCAAAAATCGAGCAATAAAAATTGGTTAATCCCACAAATTACACTCAAAATCATATGAAGAATAGTATTAACTTTAAAACCCTCTAAAATGATTCATAATGGGGCTTGAATTCGTCTAAAATTAATAGTTTGGCTGAAATAAAAAAAAATAAAAAATTCCCTAACTATTCTTCAGAAAACCGTGACTCAAAATTAAAAACCCACCTCAAATCGAACAAAAAAGATGAAGTGGATATAATTTGTGATCAATAACATTATAAAGAACCAAAACTCTATGATATGAAGAAAATGTTTGCTAAAAATCGATTAAATGGCGGAAAAAAATGAAGCTCTTACCTGTTTTTCTAAAACCGTGACTTCAAACCCAAATTTTACTTGTAATCGACCAAAATTACCTAAAATGGTGTATAATTTCTGCTCAATAACACTATCAGGAGTAAGAACCCTTTGATTTGATAAAAAACAGTGCCTTATTTTGTTTGCAATTTAACAAATGGTGGAAAATCATTTTCTTCACAAAACCGATAATTTGTGATCTAAATTCAAGTTTTCAACTCGAATAAAATGATCAATAAGGCTGAAAAGTGATAGATAAAGCTTGAAATATTCGATCCAAAACCTGTAAAATCCAATAATTGATCAAAAAAATCTAAATTTTGATGATTCTTCACGCTTTACGCTGTTCACCAAGTATTTAACAGTGACTCAGGCGATTCACTGTAGCGAATCGCCGGTTCTTCTCTATAACTTAGCGACTCTACATTTTTGTTGGAATCGACACGGGTGACCGATTCTCATGTCGACTCGAACAAGTCCGTTGCGACTCGCCGTTTTTTCAAACACTAATCTGCACTACAATCCTGCATAAACAATGATAACGTTCGACTTCCACAATGGAAGCGATCAATTATTACATCAAAATCACCATGGAAGTGATGATGTGTTGAGTCAATCATTACGTCAAAATCACCATGACATCCGATTTTCACCAGCGATGATGTGTCGAGTCAATCATTACGTCAAAATCACCATTGACATTCGATTTTCATGGAAGCAATGATAAGAAAAAAGGCGAAACCTGTTTGGTTAGATCCAGAATGGTCAGGCCGATTCCCGATCTGATCGTTTGAGATTCTAGATAGGGTCACCGGTTTATTGAACACTGGTTTTAACTGTTCAACTCCAATGATCCGGTTGAACACTCACTGAACAGCCAAGTTCCAATAACCCTGGTATAAACACCTCCCCACTTCCTCGCGGCCCAACGGACCATTAAACACATTTGTTTCTATTTCTCCAACCGCAACATTGTTCGAAGCATTGCACATACGTTTGCCTGTGACCATTTCTTACTACTGGTTCATTCCGAAAATGTCACAAATAAGTCCGTAAAGCCATTTAACCTCCTCATAACAAACAGAAACTTGTTCCTCACAGCCATATTTAATGCAAGCCATAATAAACCTTAGTGAATCCAAACACGCCCTTAGGTTGAGAACCCTGGTATCATCATGATATCTACTATACCCATCCCTATTCCAAGAGGTACATTATTTAGTAAGGTCCAGTTTGTATGTGTCGTAGAATTCATAATAAACCAGCCTATCCGGGAATGGCCCATCCCTGTAAAGGTGTTGTTTTAGGCCTAAGCAGGGCCGATTTGCTGTAACTATCAACGAAAATTTCGAATAGAAAGGGCCACATAGAAGGCCTAGATATCAGCAACTTATACATGAAAAGCCTAAAGGCACTAAAAAAATCTCACATTCATTTGGCCCTCAGAAATTCTTCTCTACAATTCAAACCCAAAAGACATTGGTGTGGTTTTTATAAGGTTGCGACCTTTATCAATCCAATTAAGGTGCACCACCAAATTTTATCATAACATGCAATTTTGGTGTAAAACATTCATAGGATTATATCAAATCTATTTTCATATCTAATTATAAAATTTTAAACTCCAAAAAATGTTAAAATCACACAGATCTATAAACATATGAAAATATTGAAAATAGACAGTCTAGATAATGTGTTGAAAGATGCATCATTTCTGGGACTCAAAATAAATTTTTTTTTTTTTCATATCAATACATCTTCTTGTTGAGATTATCAATTAGAGGGTTTTTCAACATTAAAACAACATTTTGCGATGGGTTTTTATGTGCATTTGTAATTCTACATTTTAAGGTTGCAACCTTATATAAACTTTTTCTATATTTGGGAATGAATTCAATGACAGTCTAAAACCCATATATATACAAGATAACCATAAGATTGAGGCCCTTGACTTGGGTTTAACTTAGTACTGGATCCACCACCATTCGAAGCCCAACAAGCCTATCTGGAAATTTAAAATAAAACAGAGACCAGAAGAATTAGAGCCAAAAGAAACAGTTAGGCATAAAGAGCAACCTTCTTATCTGAATCTTCTAAATTACTTAGTAAAAAGTACATGTTGGCTTCAGATAAGTCACTAAATTTAAGGGAAACCAAATTTCCAAGAAAAATGAAACACCAATGGCAGCCACATTTGCAGATCCTACATCTCACAAAAGTAGTTACTGGAAATATTGATGTCTCTTCTTCTCCTTCTTCAACAAGCATACGCATGCTTTCATAGAAATAAGAAAGCAGCTAGTGAGCAGTTCATATCTTATCATATCAGTATGAGAATCTGTAAAAAGTAATAGAAGCACAAAATTTACTTTCATTTCCAAGTGATATTAAGTCTGATATCTTTCAGTTGTTGTAATATAATCAATACTTTTGCTTTGCTGATAGCCAACACCACGGTAGTTATGTCAATGCCACCGGTGGAACCAATGCAGCCCATACGTATCTAAGTTTTGTGTATCATATGTTTTCCTTTGCCAGACCTGTTCAAAATGATCAGGCCTATGTATGAGTTAGATATTCTGTTTAATGAGGCTTGTCTTCTAGGAAAATACCGTTTAATAAATAAATAAAATTTGCCCATACAACACGTACATTTTCGCTGAATGGTAACAAATTACTGCACATTGATTCTCCAAGGTCAAGCTTTACAAAATTCCCACAAGATGATTTGAGTTCCTTGGGCCTAAACATCTGAGCGGATAGGGAAATCCAAACCTCGGAGGGCAGGTACATTTACCAAATCCTCTGTTGAGAGCACGGGAATCATCCAGTATGCCTTTTTTGTGCCGAAAACCTTTCAATCATAAGAAAGAATCAGAATCACATAAATAGAATGTATGAGTTAAAAATAAATAGAAACCAAAAAGACAAGCACCACCTGCTCGAAATTCTTCCGCCTGCCCAAGTCATATTTCCACCTGACCACTCCTCTCTTCTCATACACCTGGAAAGGACATCAGTTTCGAAAAAGCAAAGAGAGTAATGAATCTTTGGAGATAACAAGAAGCAATATGTAAAACCTCAAGTAGTAGATGTTTTAAGATGTTTACCTCAATTGTTGTCGTGTTGCTTAAAAGCAGAGATGCATGCATGATAAGGAAACCAAGAAGACTCAATGCAAACGCCAAGTTGAGGACTGCAACAGAGAAAGCATTTAGCTGATTACAGACACTTAAGTTTTACAACTTCAACACCCCAACCATGAAGATGGACAAGAAACTACCAAATGTGAGAAAGCTGATTGCAAGATTGCCAGGTGAACCAGAACGGTTCTTGGCTTCTCCAAAGAATTCAATGAAATGTGGTAATAGTACTAGCGTATCCAATGTTGTCTCCAAAAATGTATACATCTAGCCAACAAAGAGAAACCATGTCAGGCCCTAACATAAATGAAAAGATTTCACTTATATGTCAGAAGGAATTTAAAGTAGCTTTATCCCTTAATGCATTTAAAACGCAAGCAGCCAATTTAGAATATGTTTCAACAAGGTGTTCATTTCACGCACAGTAGAATTAGCAATAAATTACATGTCAATTAGATTGATGACGCAGTTTTGAAAATAAGTTTGGAAAATGGTTTGTATATAATAAAGTTAAAAGTAAGTTTCAAATTATTTGTTTATTTATTTATTTATTTTTGGATTATTAACCACCAACTGGTCTAGAGGATTATAGATCAAATTGCCAAGAAAATGGTGCAGCATCAAGATGAAGCAAGACAATATAGAACTGTTGAGGAGTCAAAAAGAAGGGGGTCTCTTACTAAACAAGCAACCTTGTGTCTGACCACATCATAGTCAGGCAGTGATGTGTAATCTCTGGCTGTTTGATAAAATTGAAGATGTGTGTGCAAGCAGAACTTTATGAAGGAGCATGAATATGAGAGGGATCAGGACTTATTTACACTTTGTGCCGTTTCATAGATAGTTACCATGCACAAGGAATCATTGAATTTCCAGCAAAAATACTAGCAGCATTAAAGAATCAGGCTCTTGGCTGTGGTTAGGGTGTGACGCTGTAGGTTCCGTTCGAGTCCCCAGAAATGGCCCTGCTCATTCAGAAGCAGTTCGGAGCCATCCCACTTTCTTTCCAGCAGGGATAGTAACCAACCAAAAGTAAAAATGAAATGAAAAATGTCCAAAAGATAGGAATCACAGGTGAACACCTTCGAAAAAACATAAGGGAAAATATATGGCTGAAGTCAAGTGAAAAGCTGTTAGGAGGAACTGTTAGGCTACAGTTGGAAATAAATTAGTATGCATGTCCATGCAAGGTGAAATAAAAACAAGATGAAAACATTAAACGAATGATGGGGGACTCTTATAAGGGAAGACTTCCTGCACGTGACATATAAGCATCCTTCACAATAATTCAAGATGGACACCTGGTGGGGCACATGTTTCAACTTATTATGTGGACATGTCGACACATCTTTCATGGATGCAAATACCTGGCCATGAAAACCTGCCTAACAATTGTACATCCAATATCTTCTACAGCAATCATAAAAGTATCGTTCGTAATTATTTGAAAATATGTACAGTTAGCCATTCTAAAAAAATATCAATCACTCCAATGGCTGAATGTTACAAAATGAGACAAAGTCAAACCCATTATAGTATAATGTTTATCAAGACACACTACACAGAAAACTTTCCACAAATTACAGTGCCTCAGATGCAAGTAAAACATTTGTGTCACCCAACATATAATGCACGATGAAAATTTAGATTCTATATTGCTAACCTCAGCAAAAGGCAATCACCATGCAGTAGAAAGTAAAACTGTGAAACATACTGTATAGGACAATAGAAATAAAAATGACAGTTCCATCTTTTTCTCTTTTTCTTTAATGTGTGGACTGTTGTCTTGATAGACAAGTTGATCTTTTTATTTTATTTTTCACCTACAGGAAAGTTGTTTAAACTACAACCGTTTAAAAGATCAATTTGATAAAAAACTTTTCCCAGGAAATAAGTAACTTCATAAGAATTCGATGTCTTGGAAATATTGGGTAGAGTACCGGATTCTCAGAAAGGCTTGACTGCAGGCTGATAATTCCTAGATTACAAGAAAATAACTGCCCAAAACAAAGAGTTTCCATGATAACATGCATGGATATTGCAGTCACCATATAGCTTCATAACTACCAAAAACATCACCATATGAGTTGATAAATCACCTCCAAATTCAACATTCCCATGCTAATATCATGAAAAAACTGAAAGGAAAGAATGCAACAGAAGTACCAGGAAAAGTAGAAAGAATTTGTAGTTTCCTGCTCCAACACAATTGACTACCCACACACAATGGTGATCCATCTTCAAGACGCATCTTTGACCTGCAAGGGGTACAATACATGAATATATAACGTGTTGCATAGGAATATAACCAGTCATGAATTAAAAAAAAAAAAAGAATACTCTCTGTCAATTGACATAAACCAGACCAGTTTTCATAATTAAGAGAAAGATAACAGACAACATATGCACAAAACTGGATGGACAAGTTCAACATTTTTGAAAGAAGGTTAACTAATATCTGTGCTACTTGGCCAAAGTGTGTGCTTGTGTCTGTAGTGTGTCTAAAAATTAGTGTCCCCTTAGCATGCCAACTGTGGACTGACCGAGATATTGACAAAGCCTCCTCCTGCTCGTTCTCCATGCAACTAGTAGAAAACATGGGAAAGCAATATACCCCCTAATTATGGTCTAGAACACTTTAGAAGTAGACATTTAAGAATGGATAGGTCTAGCAATCAGAAATGTTTCTCAGTGAAAGTTTGTGTTCTCAAAAAATTAAGACCTTGCTATGAAGAATGCAGCCTTCCAGGGCGCATGTTGAGGAAGAAGACTGACTAAATGATTTTGGATATGAGATAGTACAGATTATGACCTAATACAGTGTCTTTTGTGCTCCAGAATCTTCAGCCAAGAGGTTGAATTATGTCAGCATAATGCTAGCCAGATCATACCAAACCCAATCAGTGATGACAGAGACCAAGCACATAGAGCTGACAACGATTAAGTTCAAAAGTAATTTAATGATATAATCATTTAGACCGATTAGTTACCAAATTGCATCAGTTGTAGATACTGACAAAGAAGAATCGGAGTTTGTTTCGTTTTTTAATAAGTCGAAACAATGGGGAAAGGGAAGACATAGTATTACCATTTTCTTTTGGGTAAGCTATCTTGCCTCTAGCTAGGCCAAGTTCTCAACCATGTAACTGTATGTTACTAGGTTTCATAATGTATTTGTTTTCTCCCCCTGTAATTTGTGGTGCTTTTAAGCCAAGCAAATTGCTGTATCAAACTGAGTCACCCCCTTTATGCCCTAGTGAGAGCCACAGATTCATCAAATTCTCCACCCCTTTGGAAACTTTGAATATCCATAAGGATTAGGAGTTAACCGCATTATATTTTTGAATCTTCTAGAATACAGACATCACAAAAATGAGTGGGAAACCAAGATACTCCTTTGGCAGCAAAAGTGATTGGTCTTGAAAGCAGTCAACAGTGACCATAGATAGAACAAGGATGTAAAGGATAGCATTAGGGCTGAGAATTCACCCGATCCGGATCCGAAACCCAGAATTCAGATCTTATTCAGATCCGGGTATGAATCCATGATTTGGATCCGAAATTCGGATCTAGATCTAAAATTCAAATCCAAATTAAAATCCAGATCAGATCCGGGTGTAGGTGGATCTGATCCTGATCCGACCCGGTTTCT